CCCCCTATGGGTGTTAATAGTATTCAACAGCAGCGTCTCTATAATCTGCCTGTTGCAGCCAAAAACAGTAAATTGTAAAAGTAAAAGTAAATTTCCACGCTGGACAACTGAAACTCACTGTCAAGCTGTTTTTGGTCATTTGCAGTTTAAAAGAAGCCTAGATACCGAGGTTCACACTAAATGTGATGGAAAAGTCTTGCTTAACACAATGAAACATGAAACTGAAATGCCAAAATGATGCGTAAATGCTACTTAGATGTCTAAAAAAAAAAAAAAAAAAGGTTTAACCTCAAATTTATGTCCTTAAACATAGAAATCATCAAATCATTTATTAATAGGCTGGGCCTCGGTTAGAGGAGCTCTGACGCTGCCAACACAGGAACAGGTAGCGGGATGGTGTTTATTCTCACCTTGCCGTGGTAGGCGCTGCTGTTCTTGGCCACGGCACACTGACGGTCCACCAGGAAGCAGTACCTCCTCCTCTCCTCAGACAGAGCGTTCTTGTAGCCCTCGGCGATGTAGTTGTCCAGCTCGCTCTGCTTGTTGCTGATGGCCTCCACGTACTGAGGAGGGAAAAAGGCAACAGATTAAAAACACGCATCGACTTTCTCCGCCGTCATGATAAAGAATCAGAGCACAGAATGCCAGAAATTGGATCTGAAAGACCAATTAACCCATTGTTCCAAGTATCCACAGGTGTTATGAAGACTGGAAAACAAACAGGAACTCTGCATACTTTACATATATTACAGTTCACGTTACAATGCAGGCGTTTTTTCCTTTTGCACACTGACTCCAGAGAGAAACAACTTTCTCACAACTTGCTGCTCCGTATGCCATTATTGAGTCATGCAGAATTTATTTTATTGATCAAGTTTGCTTTATTTTCTTTTCAATGCCACCTGGTTGTCTCCTCTCGTGTACACAGCCTGCAGTTCAGCCAAGTAGTCCCTGCACTTTTGTCAGTCATTCATGGCTTTAGAGTTTCGTTGAGGAGCTCATAATTGTTTTTGTTTTTTTAATATTACCTTGTGCAAACATTTTAATTTAGATTTTTTTTTTAAATGCAGCATGCAAAATAAAGTAATTTTCATGAAATATCCCAGTCACAGGCTTACATTTGCTTAATTTCCCCAGTGGAATCATAAGTCCAACATAAAGACAATTCTTCCTGTTGTTATATTTTCTGGCTGATAAATAGTAAAATTTTGGTGATTTTTCTGAACATGCCTTTCAAACTCACCGGCAGATTTTTAAGTGTTAATACACCATAAACTACGTCAAATCGAACCAAATTGAACCCAGGAAATCATGTCAGGGAAAATGAAAAAAAAAAGCATTAAAGCTGACATTTAAAGTATTCAGCAGCAGCGTCTCTTCACAGAAATTACGTCTGTGGGTAAATCCATTGTGTGAAGTGGGTGAATCAGCCCTTTGACAACCGCATGACTCCACCAAATAAGAATTCTGATGGATTGGGCATCACAGTCATGACATATAAAAAGCAGACAAATTGTTCCTTCATGTGCCGCCTTGAAAATTAAATCGGAAATGTCACAGCACATCAGACCTGAAAACCATGAATTAGAGAAATAGAAGTCGGGCCCTCGGGCTGTCTGATCATTCATCTATTATGCGATCATGGTGACTGGTGTTCAGTATTTCCTGCAGATTAGCTGAACTGGAGCAAAGTCAGCTTTTAACCTCATTCACCTGCCACTACTTCACCCGCTGAGTCACCAGCAGTCAGGACAACAACTGGAACCGTTCATCCACATCGCGACATCGCCTCGAGGCGCACAAAGGCAGAGGCAGAACATATCGAGCCCGACTTTATCAGCGGGCTCCCTTATATAACTGAGAGAAGCAAAAGATTCCCATGGTGCCAAATAATGTAGAGCAGCATTCTTCAAGTGCCAGACAGCACTGAGCTCCGGTATGAGGTGTTAATGACCGTGGCTGGGCTGTTTGCAGAGAAAGTTAGCAGCCTACGCGCTGTCATACGTGGCTGGCTGGTCCAAATAACACCAGATCTGCTGGAGGAAGTCGAGATGTAAGAAGAAGGGAAGAAAAAAAAAAAACAGTGGTGGAGAGAGATGCTTTTGAGAGACGGAGCTCAGTTACCTAACGGTGTGCTATAATCAACATCACTCATTATACAACGCCAGACGTGCTAATTAGGCAATTAATCAGGCTAATTAATGCATTCATTAGCAAAAGTGTCTGCATAAACAGCATACCTTAAAAACTGACTGCATTAAAGGGTCAATCTGCAATTTCCTGACTATAAATAACATATTGGACAAATATTAAAAGTTTGATGTAAAGACGGAACATCAAATCTTTTTGATCTTTCAACAGCTAATATATTAATATTAATAACTCCTTGTATTTGAAGACTTGGGAGTGATGATTTGAATCAAAGACAGCAGCTCTCTTTTTAAGATTTCACTTGGTGATGTGTGTTTTTCTGAAGCAACGTGCTGCAAAAATCCAACCAACACACTAAGTGACTGTAAGCAAAGAGAAACTTGGGCGCTGGACACACACATGAAGCCGTGCTTTATATAGCAAGCGTGCTAATTAAAATGTTGCCATGGTGCTGCACAGGCTGAGAGATTTAATTAAAAGATCATCTTTGGGTAGAAATGCAAGACACAAAAAATATCTCTGATTTCTAACAGCCATAGAATTCTGATCCTCTGTAATCTAATGTGAAGGGAACAGCTTTAACACAGCAGCTCTCTGTAGTGGCCTTGGAGATATTATTCGCTTATTTCAACAATCTTAGTGATCTTAAGAAAAGAGAGAAGAAGAAAAAATGGTGTTTAGAAGAAAAGTTGGGAGGATGGCTGTGTGGTTATTCATGCAGAGAAGAAAGGGTTTGTTAGGGCTGTAGTTCTCTGTGGAACCCAATGTCTCAGAACAACTTTTTGTTTTCTCCAGTAAATCTACAACAGTGTGGCTCTTTTCTTTTTCTTTCAAATTTGTCATAAAAGCACTGAATTAGTGAGAAAAACATCAAAAATCTCAAGAAAAAGATGCAAATCAACACAAAACGCACAAAATCACCACGACAAGATGTAAAATCAACACTACAAAACCAAAATCACCACAAAAAGAGGCGTGAAATCATTACAGGAAGGCGTAAAACCTCCACAAAATCCATGCAAAATGACCGTAAAACATACAAAGCCACCACAAGATGCAAAATCAATACTAAAAGGCCTGGCTCACGACCAAAAGAAGCATGAAATCACAAGAAAAAGATGTGAAATCACCACAAGCAGACCAAAATAGTCACACAAAGATGCAACAAGCACTACAGCAAGAAGTTAAATCACCACAAAAAGATGCAAAAAAAAAATCACCACAGAAAGACGCAAACTCACAAGTTGATGTGGTTCTATTTTTAGAAATCATACGAATATGGTAAATTGGTCTTCTAGTCTGTTATTATTGTTTTAGCATGAAAAAAAAAATGATTTCGAGTGCTGCAAATACTTTCTTTTCCTGTTTATTTATGATCCTTTTAGGCCAATAAGGCTGCAGGTAGATCCCCTCATCAATAACGTGCAACAACCACCTGACAAAACCTTACCAAGACTTTTTTATGGTTGGTTTCTAACAGGAATTTATACAAACATGATAGTTAAAAAGCCTGAAAAACCATTTTCTGCACCTCTCACAGGCCCAGAGAAGAGACTTTCCACACTCTCCCTCATCTGAATAAATTCCTGCATCACCTTCCCCTCAGACTGTCAGTCCACATTACGCATTAATTTAGTGGTTTTTCAGGAGGACGACACCCTTCCAGAGACGGAGCGTCTCTCTGACTGTTAGTCGCGTCTCTCTAATGAGTCTAATAACTCGGGATTGACGAGGAAGACGAGGCGAACGGCCGCGGACGCCCAGCAATTAATCTCATCCCTTCGCTCTTCTGCTGGAGCCGGATGAGGTGGAAAACACAGAGTCGCATCAGAGCCGAAGACAAGGTGGAGCAGAGGCACGGAAAGTCCACATTTCCAAATAATGATCGTATTAATTTACCGTGACACCGCTGACAGTTCAGTCAGCTGAAATTAAAATGAGCGCCGGGATACTTTGACTATTTGAAAATCAAAAAATTAGAGGCATAAATTAGTGAATGACACAACAGTTTTATGTTATGACAAGGCCTTCTATCTGGCGCTTCAATTACTCCCACGTGAACGGGGAGGCAAGCTCAGCCACCTTTTTTATTATTTTTCTGCAGACCAGTCGATTTGCAAGTATTTTCATGCGATTTTATTCTTATTTCTAGGATGAAATAGGCTTTGAAGATGTAAAAATGGTTCAATATGTATAAATTATGCTTACAGATACTGAACCAAAAAGGAAAATTTGTACAAAAATGACAGATTTTTTGGTAGTTTTTTTTTGTCCATAATATCAACACAATCTCAACTTCAATTGAAGCCATTAACCATCAGACATAAGGTGCACAAGAAATAAATAAATACAGATTAAACGTGGGGAAAGGGAGACAATGAAGAACAATAATATTCTGTGTCACTGGCTTGTTTCTGTGGTGTGTAAACCTGTCGTATTAAAGAGGAAAATATGTGTGAAAGTAACACTAATTGTTGGTAATAATGGCAGTTTTTTCTCTCTTTAGATTACTAGCTGGAGATCCATATTTGTAAGCTCAGCCACTTATTTATGTGCTATTTTTCTGCTGAATTTAAATTCATTTTTAACACTGAAGTAGGCTTTGAAAATGTAAAAAAGATTGAATATGTAGAAATTATGCGACAGCATCGCACTTAAAGAGGAAAATGTGTTCAGAAGAAACACAGATTTGCGTTGATGATGCTCATTTTTTTCCTCTGTTGACTGCCAACTGGAGGTCCATTATGGTAACCATCAGAAATAAAGCGCACAAGATAGAAACAAATACAGATTAAATATGGGCAAACACAGACAATGAATTTTTAAAAAAATAGTCCGCCACCAGCAGGTTTTTCTGGTGAGTAAAACGGTATTAAAGAGGAAAATGTGTGCAAAAATAACAGATTTTTTTCTTTTTTTTTGGATTGCCAACCAGAGATCCATCGTGGTGTCAACAAGTCTTGTTTAATTTAAGCCATTAACCATCAGAAATTAAGCGCATAAGATATAAACAAATGCAGATTAAGGGCCAACGCTGACAATGAATGAAAGCAAAGTGTTGGTTTCTCTGGTGGGTGAAACTGTAGTCATACTTCTGTGCCACATGGAGGAGCCACAGTGTCACACCTCAAACCTTTAAAAATCTGTGATCGCCTCCCAGGTAGGAGCTATGAATCAAAATCCAACAGGCTGACGACTTAAACCTGAAAAAAAACAACAATTTCCAAGAACCAAACAGGGTTCTTAACGTGGGCGCACAATGGCTGAACACGCACCCACACTGAAATATTAAACGGTGACAAGCTAAGGAGCAGTTAGCGGAGGGAGGAGGATGAAGGCCACTTATGAATCACGCGAATGGTGGAGGTGGAGCAGCGTTCGGGTTTCACATTCAGACCAGCGTGTTGAGGTT